GAGGTTGAAGAAGCAATCTGGGCAAGTCATTTGCCATGAAAGACATGGGAGTCTGCTAAGAAGATTCTTGGTATAAGTATCACTCGTGATAGAAAAGAGAAGAAACTTTGGCTATCACAGGAGCACTTACATTCGAAGGTGTTGCAAAGATTCCAAATGGAGAATGCTAAGGTTGTAAGTACTCCTCTTGCTACTCATTTTAAGTTGAGTGTTAAACAAAGTCCTTCAAATGAAGTTGAGAAGATAGCTATGAGAAAAGTTCCTTATGCTTCTGCGGTGGGTAGTTTGATGTATGCAATGGTATGTACAAGGCTCGATATTGCACACGTTGTTGGTACGGTTAGCGATTTCGTCAAATCCGGGTAGAGAGCATTGGAATGCTTTGTGAAATGGATTTTGAGGTATCTTCGTGGTACTAGAGGTTTGAGACTTTGTTTTGGAGGTGATAAACCTACTTTGGTGGGTTACTCAGATTCGAGATATGGCTGGAGACATTGATTCCGAGAAAGTCCACTTCGAGCTATTTGATTCGGTTTGCGGGGGAGCTTTGGCTTGGCAATCAAAGTTGCAAAAGTGTGTGGCGTTGTCTACTGCGAGGCAGAATTCATTGCACTTACTTGAAGCATGCAAAGAGTTGTTATGGGTGAAGAAATTCTTGCGGGAGCTTGGTTTTGTGCAAGATAAATACTTGTTGTATTGTGACGGTCAAAGTACTTATTCATCTTGGTAAGAATCCAACTTTTCATTCTAAATCCAAACATATTGATGTGAGGTATCATTGGATACGTGATGTTTTGGATGCTAAGTTGGTGGAACTAGCTAAAGTTCATACGAGATGATAATGGTGCTGATATGATGACCAAGGCATTGCCAAGAGGAAAGTTTGAAGTTTGTTGTGAGATCGCTAGGTTTGGCGGATATCTCCACATAGTCGTGAGGGGGAGATTTGTTGGGTTATTGGGCTCCCTTCCTATGTGGAGAATAGGCCCAAATAGTGTGGTCCATTATGTCTCATTTGGGTAAAATGAGATGGGTCAGATTAGTAGAGGACAAGAGAGTCATTTGAAAAAAGAAAAAAAGTCTAGTGAGAGAAAAGAAAGAGAGAAAGTCATCTCGCATAACCCTAAATCTGCACTGGTGTTTTCGTCGCTGTGAAGTCGTTCACCGTTGGATCGAGCTGATTTTTGGATAGTAGGTTCCAGACATATGGTTCTTCATTCTGACCGTTCGGATCGTCAATCGAAGGTCTAGATTGGGAGAAATTGGTCCCGCACCAGCAGCCCTGTTTTGGAGATTTTTCATCTTCTTTGTTTCTCTTTTGTAAGCATTTGTGCTTAGTTAATTACTGCTTATTGAAAATACCTTTTGGTATTATTATTGGAGACTCTTGTGTACCCCATTATTGATCATAGTGAATTTTTCTTTGGTCCGGACGACTCGTGGTTTTTACCCTTGCATTGAGGGGTTTTCCACGTTAAAATTGTTGGTGTCTCTTTGTGCTTTGGATTCTATTTGTTTGGTGCTCCTCGCTGATTCTCGCAAGAAGGGGGATTGAATTTCCGCTGCATTATTACTCTTTGTCAAGTTGTTATATTTGTTTTTTGGCCTTTTTTTTATACCATCAAAATTGACTTTAAAAGCCACTCTTAGTGCAAGAATTCTGTAAAGAACATATTCAAAACACCTCTCCATTCCACTAATTCTACTTTTTATCAACATATTTATTATCAAATTATTATTATTATTATTTTATAAATTTTATTATCTATTTTTTTCTCATATCTTACAAGTTAAATTTTTAACAAAATTTTTAATTGAAGTTGTTTGGTGAGATATTTAAATAAAATATTAATTACTTTAAACACTTTTTATGAGAAATTTTATATGATATTAAGTTGCTTAAAAAAATTATTTTTTATAAATGTTTTATTAAATACTTTATAAAAATAAATAAATAAGAAGAGGGTATAAATTCTTTAAAATTTATTAAAAAGAAATTATTAATATAAAATTAATGATAAATTATTTAAAAATTAATGTGATATAATAAATCTTTATTTTAATTTTAAAAAAAGGTACTTCAAGTTCCCGTTAAGATGTCATGATAATAATATATTAAAAAATATATATTATTTCATTAACCTTTATTTATTAAAAATTTGACTGGAAAGGTAGAATATTTAAAAAATAATCTTTTGATGATAAAATTGTGGAAAAAAAAACTTAAAAGTAAAAACCGTAAAATATGTAAGTAAGTGTTTTTTAATTATAATTAGAGTTTTATTTGATATTATTTTCAATAAATAGTTTTATGAAATATATTATTGAAATAAAATTGTAAATGTGACGTGAGTGAAGAAAAAGAATCCCAATATGAATACATGATTTTTTATTTTTATATTTTTCAAAATGAAAAGAGTGGACAATGTGTGTGAGCGAGTGCCCCACACACACCGCATCAGCGATGACCAGTAAGATACGCTTTACACGTAACCCAACATGGCAGAGCGTTACGCATGGCACGTTCACCATCACCACCACACCATCTATCACCTCTTTCACGCGCGTGCCCGTCACTTTCCCAAATCCACAGAATAAGGATTTATTCGCCACGTCACATAACTTAGTCTTTGTCATGCTTTAATGAATGTGTATTGTAATATAAATTCAATTTCATTCGTATTTTCAAAATCAAATAATTTATCATTATTATATATTCTAGTTAAATTTTAAAAAAAGTATTGAATTAAAAATTTATGTTGAATAAAAAATTTAAACATTTTGTACCAACAAATATTATTAGTCTCATGAGAATTGAATTCAAATCAATAAACTTGAAAACGTGTCGTTCAAATTTTATGAATGAAAAAACGTTAAAATGAAATATTTTATTAGTAGAAATGTGTCGTATTCAAACTTTCTGAATGAAAAAACGTAAAAATAATTTTTTTATTATTATTAAAAGTGATTAATCAGTAGTAAAACATGTGATAGATAATTTGTATTAATAAAATAACTTTTATTACTTTAAAAGAACAAATAATCTTGATAACATACCAATTAGAGTTTCATGTAAAAATTCATGTTAATATTTTAATATTTATTATTTGCATATAAATTTGAACGATGAAACTAAATCTTTAATTTTAAAAAATATATATGAAAATGAGTGAGTTAAAAAAAATCATTAATATTTATTATTTGCATATATAATTTTATTTTATTATTTGTGAAAATTGTATATTAAAAAAAATATGAAAATGAGTAAGTTATATTTGAAAACACAATTTCATAATAAAAAAAATGTTACTTCTATTTTATATATATAGTAACTAATTAATATTTATTTAGAATAAAGTTTAAAATGCAATTAAATTGTATATTTAAATGATTTCCAATCGAGTTCATGGTGAAACATGTAACTTTTAACAAAATATATCAAACAATTTTATAACATTAAAAAAATCCCAAAAAAAAAATTCCTATATTGAATGATTTTAATATAGAATGAGAACAAAGAATGGTGCGGCGTAAAAAAGAATAATAAAATAAAAAAAATCCTATATTTAGTGACATATTATAATCCCAAAAATAAAATAAGATGAAAATAAAGAGGCATAATTATTAAAACTATCTAGTGGCTTAATTATGATTAAGAGACATAATTATTAAATTATCCAGTGACAGATATTTTAAAATTATTATTAAATTTTCTTTTAAATTATCAATTTACTCATTTACATTATATCTTTAATCCGGCACAACTTTTATAATATTTTTTTATACATTTCTTAAAATCGTGATGATCATTTTTCTTAATTCCCACTCATGTTTATATATTCAATTTATATTTTTTATCTACACTTGTTATTCCGTTTAATGGAATTTAAATTTAAATAAGTACAATACGTTTGAACTTCATATAATAATGTTATGAAGCTATAATGTTATATTTCTTAACAATTTTTATAAATGGTATTATATTATTATTATTTTATTAATACTGTCTAAAATAATCGGTAAGAACAATTATAATATAGAATGAAAATGAGGCGTTTCACTCTTACTATGTTAAAAAAAAAAAGTAACTTCAATTACTTTTTATTTCTTTTATCTTATTATATTATTTTCTATGAATCAATCACTTTTTTATTTATTTTTTATGTGTAAATATTTTCGGTGACCGTCAAAGATTTTTAAAAAAGAAAAACACCGGCGCTTCTTGGAAAAGCAAAAGTAACTTCAATTTACACTGGCAAGGATGAGTTGTCAACGAGTCAAGCCCTTTTTTTTGGGAAGTTAAGATCGTTATTTAGCAAATTAACACAGTAATTAATTACACTAACACCTGTCATTAGTTCTAATCACACACAGGGGTGTGACGGTTGAGCATAAAAATTAAAATAAAAAAATCACAGAAGAAAAGCATGATTAATGAAATTTTATTATTACTACATAGTAATTGGGGTGTACAGGCTGTAATCATAGTACAGTAATAACTCCTCTCCCAAATGATTACATTCTGATTCTGATTCAATTATAGGAAAAAAAAAAAAAGGCAGTAACCTCAGCAAATCCTGCTAATTGCCTCTTCAACTTCCCAATTTTTTCCTTTATTTTATCCAAAGCCACAGAAAAAGAGGGGCAAAATTTTACCCATCCACCGCTTTTGCCTTTCCCAACCCATCAAAGAGAACAAAAGTTACTGATTTCACTGCCATCTTCTGCTCCTACGCTGGCTGCATCATAGCTTTATCCAGACCCCAACTAATTATTTTCTACTGATAAACCCACCAAATATAAAAAAAAAAAAAAACTATGTTTTTCCCCAAAACCAAACAATAACCCTATTTCTTAAATCTTAATTTCTTCTACTTCTACTACCCTAAATAATATTGCTATGCACCTGTAAAAATTTAAACAACTAACACCCATTTCCCCATCCCAAAAAACTATGAAAAGAACTAGTAGTAATAACTATTGATAGCTTCAAATCTTCTTCAATAGGTCCATTCCTTGGGTAACTGGATCTCATGGTTGTTCAATGCTTGTGTCTGTTGTGGCTTTTGGTTGTTGTTACGCTTCTGATTATGATGATGATGATTACTTCGACCCTTTGAAACCGTTGATCCTGCACATGACCAACGCATCATAAAATCTCTCACCCATAAAATAGTATCCCCCACCTCCATAATTTAATGAACAAAAATCAAAAAAATGAGAAGACAGCATAAAAAAACGCCAAGGCGAATTAATTTTACCGTTTTCACCATTGAAACGAGGCTTGTGTTGCACCTTGCCACCCACCACACCCTCCAGATTCAGATTCAACGCTTTTGCCACTCTATCCGGCACCAACGCAGTGTTACACGCTACAGAAAGAAAGAACCAAAAAGTCATTGATTGAAGTCATTAAAAAAAAGTTGAATTAAACTAAATACAAACAATTACCTGGCTTTTTCCGAGGCTCGATGCGAGTATCAACACTGCGAGGCAAGAACACGCCAGTTCCAGTGCTTTCCCTTTTCCCAGCCAGGAAAACAGCCCTCATGCCACCAGAGCCACGAGGCCATGCAGAAGAAGACAAACCCATACACAGACCCATGTTGCCACCCCTAACGTTGTTGCTGTTATTCCTTCCACTGTTGGGGACCATTTGCCTCTGTTGCTGCTGCTTCGCCAACTGTTGCTGCCTCAAAATCTGAAACTAAATACAAAACAAAATAAATAAATAAACACGGTGAGCAAAAAGAGTAAAGTAATAATTGATGTTTTTTTTTCTCACTCACTTGCGCAATCTGCAACTGCTGCTGATTGTAAAACCCTAACCCAACTGCGTCAGTGTTAACGCCGCTTGGCGCAGCAAAACCCAAACCCGGAGAATGTGCCGCCGGCACCGCCGGCGCGTTAAGGAGAAAGCTGTATCCGTAACGGTCGTTTTCGCTGAGGCACATCCTCTCAACTTCCCCTGCAGCAGCGCGCAGCAGATCCCACGTCTCCCGCTGCACGTTCACCTGTGAAACGGCGCCGTTCGGACTCGACCCCTTCCCACTGCTCCCGACCGCACACAGCGTTGACTGAGGCGAGCCACTCCCAAATCCAACCTAAGCGAACAAAAATTACAATTATTACTAAAAAGTAATAAATGAATAAATAATCAAGCAAAAACAAAAATAAATAAAGTTATGAGGTTATTTACTAAGAAGAAGACAAGAGCCAACTTTGTTTTTACTCTCATTTGTTTTCTTACCTTGGGTTTTGCAGAGTGGAGATCGAGTTCCAGAGCGACTCGGCGAGTCAACTCAGCGAGGTGATCTTCTTCGTCACTCTCAGTCTCGCTGGAGGAACTGAGGTAGGGGAACAGAGTCCGTGAAACGTCGTCGCTTTTGACGTTATTGTTGTTGCGGTTGAGGTTGTGGTGGATGTTGAACGACGTGTCGTCGTCGGTAAGAAACTGGGGAGGAAGCCAAAACTCGCCGTCGTCCAAGTTGTCAGCCATGGAAACGCAATTTGAATTTCGAAAGAGTTCGAGAGAAGGAGAGTTTTGTGAAAAGAGAGGGAAAGAGAGAATGAGTGAAAGTGAAAAATGGATCTGAGGGAAAGGGTTTGTGTAGAATAGAACAGAGCATTCCCCTTAAGTACACTCTGTCTCCTCGAGACACAGGGAAACGGTTTTGCTTCTTTTTTTATTAATTATTAATAAAATAAAATATAAATTATTATATTATTTGGAGTGGGGCAGAGAAAGAAGCGAAGAGGGGTAAGAGGCGGTGCTTTTGGAATCATACGCGGTGGGTGGGGTGAAGGACACGCGCCTTCCTAGCTGGGAGAGTGGGGTTTATGGTTTTTTCATTTTTCTCAAACTACAGTTTTTGGTTTTGCTTCATGGTTCGTTACTGGTTTCTATGGCACTAAACACGTGAGTCATATATAGATTCTAAAAGAATATTTGTCTCTAAATCATTTTTCTTAAAAAGAAATTTTTAAATTACAAAGGTTAGAGTTTAATTTAGTTTTTATAAATATTAAAAAAATGTTTAATTTTAATCAAACAAATAAAAGGAATGAAAAGATAAGATAAAAATTAAAAATAAGTTAAAATATGAATACAATGTTATGGGACACATTACTTTCAAAAATTAACGCTTCTCTATTATAACCAAACAAGTCTTAAGTAATAAGGAAAATATGCATTATAAATAGATATTTTAATATATAATATGGAAATTAGTTTTATTGTTTTTATAGTAAAATTATATTGTTTAAAAGGTAAACTAAAAATTAATTAATATACATATGAAAATTTAAAAAATTTATAATTTTCAATAAAAACATATTTAATTATGGATTGTGACGCATTGTTTTCTTTATAATAATTATTTTTACAGTTATATACTTAAGACGATTTCAAATTGATTTATACATGGAATGTATTTACTCAAACAATTGATGTATATTAAATTCATAAAGTTTTGTAAGTTTTGATTAAAAAAAATTATTATAAAATTTGTAAATATTTAACAGAAAATTATTTATTGATTTTATTTAATAATTAATTTTTTTTATATATCAGACTAATGACATATGTGACAATGAAAAAAAGTTACACACGGTAAACTAACTATAATATTTTGGCTGTAAAAAGCACTACAAATAATTTTATATGATTTTAAGATATTTTCCAAATTTAAATATAAATGAACAAAATAATTTGGTAAGAAAATTTTAATCAACTCAATTATATATTAATGTTAATATTACAAAAATAATATACACTAAAATTCAAGTTGAAATATCATCTCAAATAAATATAATTATTTAGAGTGTTTTTATTAAACCAAAATAATTAAAGAAATTTAACCAATATGTTTATTTAATGTAAAATTAATTATTTTTGCTTAAATTAAATATCAGAGTAATTATATTATTATAATCAACTAACACAATAATAATAATATATTATTAAATATATAATATATAGTATATAATATATAAACAAATAATATAGTATACGTGTTTTTTTATAATATTCTTACGAAAAAAAAATTTAATATAATAATCGATGATAATTTGTATTGAGTGATGGTATAAAAAATTTAATATTTTTAAATGCAAATATTAATTTCTTAAAATATCATGGCTCATTAGTTAATGAAACTACAAATTTTATTTTTCAATTGATAATTTTTTTTTAAATGATAAATAAAAAAATGAAATAACAAAAAATACTAAGAACCAATTTAAATATTTATTTTTCATTATTTACAGAACTTTGTCCCTTCTGTTTTACACTGAGATAATCAGGAAGAAAAGTTGGACATATATCAGCTATTTTTTTAATGTCAAAAAATAATTAATAATAATTTAATAAACATTATAAATATTTAAATAATTATAATTGCTTGTGAAAAAAGAAAAATAAAAGTTTACACTATGATATTAGTCGTGAACTTCATAAAGTAAATTAATTTATATTTAAGCGTTATATATATATATTTATGAATTCAGGTTGTTTTATTTTATAAGTTATTATATTTCACAGTCCATAACGATTTTAAATAATTTTAAATATTTGAAATTAATCATACAATACGCATCTCATACTAGATAATATAATTGAATTTAATATTTATATTTCTCCTAAAATTTAAATACATCTTCTCATCAATTGAACAATAATATAACCAAAACACACCTTATTACCAAATAACCATCAATCTTGCCCATCCCTATACATATTCCTCTAGGCATAAAATTTGTTATAAAAACCAATGCAAATACAAAAATTTGTAACACAATTGTCATCCCATTATAATTTTCTTCTACTAATTTCAATATTCTTTTCCTTATCATTCTTAAATCTTATTAGATCTTTTTTATAATTGTTAAAGAACACAAATACAAGATGAAAATAAATAATAAAAACACAATAAATTTTATGAGATTATGAGTTATGATGTATAATGGTGTGAATAATAAATTAAGGAAAAATAAATGTTGAAAATAAAAACTAAAACTAAAAAAATTAAAATGTATCAAAATTCGAAAATTGTTTTAATGAAATAGGAATAGGGGATGACGTGTAAAAAAAATTTGACTTATGAAAATTTAATTGATTCAAAATCAATAACCGTTCAAGACTAATAATTACGCTTATCCAAGTATAAATGTCGTGTTAATTAATGATCAAAATTTGAATAATAGCATTTGCAATACTATTTCTAAGGAAAAGAAATCACATAATTTGTATAAAATTAAGGTTTAAGACCTTCAATCTTTCATAGAAAAATACATGAATAATTGTAATGAACAAATAAGAAGAAATAAACACCAAAAAAAAAATATAGACTACTCAAATATGAAATTTAGGAAAATATCAAAGATACATAATCAAAGTTTCATGTAACCTCTAATTAGTTATTTAAATTAATAAAATTTGTTATTATCCATGTTTAGAAGGCTAAGTAAGCTCTATGAAGAATTTGGATGGTGCTAAAGAGGAGAGGAGAGTCATATGTAAACTTTATTTGATGTTTAAATTATTAAATATACGAGTAAATAATGAATAGTAATAATAAGTGAGTAATGAGACAAATACCAAACTATTTCATAGGGTAATATTTATGTATAACTACCCAAAAATCATAGGATATGTATCCCTATTTTATTGAATATAAATTTATTATCTTGACCAAATATAACTCTCTTAGAATTATGGAATATTTATCCCTATTTTACTAGGTCATAACCTTATCTCTCAGATTGATGAAATATCTTAATTAATTGTCCTAATAGTTAAGACCGGGTAGGTACATAAATTCTCCACGCTTGAAGGCAAAATATATTACAAGTATAATATTTTATGAGAATACGAGTTATCAACTGAAGTAATTTATTTTCTTATTGCTCGAAAGTAAGTAAAAACATTATTCACATCAACTCACATAAACTGAAATAAATACTTGAAAATTAATATTTGTTCTAAAGCAAGTATAATAGCATATGTTTTGGCAATGACAAAAAATAGTTTAAATATGAAGTGTTTGAATAACTTTTATAAAAATTTGATTTGTTCTTATGTATTTGTTCACTTTTGTGGTTGATTGTCACCTGAGTATACACACGAAAAAATAAATGTCATTAAAAATGTACTAACGTATATGAGACATAAATACTGTAGTATGTGTACAAATATATTATAACGAACTTGAATAGATATATTATGTATTTGAGTGTGTGCATGATGAATCTTAATAAGTTGGTCTTAATAAGTTAAATTATCTTAATAGACTTAATGATCTTAATAGGTCAACCTTAATTGGTTGGTTGAGTAGGTCAAGTGACCTTAATAGGTCGTTGTACATGTATAATATAGATTTATATCAAAAGTCATATTTTATTATGATCTTTGACTTAAATAGGCTTTAACATTTATTATACCTTATATTAATTGTAGTAGGATTTTAGGTGAATAATATTTCATATTTAAAGTATAAATTTATTGAATAATTTTTTAAATTTATATGTGTTCCATTGTTTAAAGAATTGAAAATTTTGTATTGTTCTTTTATAATTAAGATTAAGAATTTAGACACTAAATATAAATTAATAAAATCTAAGGATTAAAATAATTAAATTCTATTGTTTCAATATCTCTTATATAAAAGAATTTAAAAAAAAATCTTTTGACAATGATGGTCACCAAAGTTGCGCATGATTATTATTTTTAAGGATCCTAATTATTTATACAGTGAAGTGACTTCTTCTTAATTCAATATTGCTGGGATAATTTATATATAAAAAAATTGAAATGATAATTAAAATTTTGAAAGAGTGAGCCACGTGAGGGGAGTGAGAAGTAACGTGGCAAGTTCGAGGAGACACGAAGATCCTACGCTGACGTGGCATCGTGGTCTTGTTTGAGATTCTCTAATATTCTCTTTGCTTTCTCGTTTTTGCAAATATCATTTGCAATTAATTTCAACCTTTCCTTGGTTGTTTTCAGCAAATTGCCGGCGGTGGACGGTGTTTTTGCCATTGCGCTCTCTCTCAGGCTTCTATGGCTAAAAAGAATACAAATTATGTTTATTATTATTTTAATGATTATTTTATGATATTGATATATTTTAATTTTAACTTATTATTAATTTTAGTATCAATATTTATATTTTACACTTTTAAGAGAGTTCATATTTTATTTCGCTAATATTGATAAATTATCTAATAAAAGAGTTAAACATGACATTTTCCTGTGTATCATATTCATGATAACATATATACATCATCAATCATTTTTTTTTCTTGACTTAATTTTAACAATGTTTCCCTCAATTTGACCAAAATAATTCATTAACTCGTTTTTATTTTTTAAAATTAAGATTAAGTTGTCCTTGAAAATTTTAGTAATTAAGATAAAATTGAAAAAAAAAATTGAGGACAACTAAGCCATTAAAATGAACATTACATATAAAAAGTAAATTAATGGGAAAAAAGAAGAAG